AATCTTAATACTGTGTGTTGTTTCCTGGGTGATCCACGACTGTTTTTATGTTTTGTGATAGTTGTTCACGAGTTTCTTGTTTGTCCTGCTGTTCTTCAGACAAATCCTCCAGCTCCTACACAATCTTTGGTTTTCCAGCATCTTCTGCATATGTGAACTCTTTCCAACAGTGACCGTACGATTTTGAGATCCATCTTTTCACACTGAGGACAACTGAAGGACTCATACACAAATATTACAAAAGCTGAAAATATTTACTGATGCTCAAGAAGGAAACACGATGCATTAAAAGCCAGAGGGTGGACACTTTTGAACCGGATGATGATGTGTACATTTTGTTTAAAGATATTTTTTTCATTTAGTACTGCACTTCAGTAGCTACATAAATAATTACATGTTTCCCAGAAGACAAAATACGTACAATTTACCCTAATCATCCATTTCAAAAAGTTTGCACCCTCTGGCTCCTAATGCTTTGCGTTTCCTTCTTAAGCATCAGAAAATGTTTTCACCTTTTTGTAATAGTTGTGTATGAGTCCTTCAGTTGTCCTCAGTGTGAAAAGATGGATCTCAAAATCATACAGTCACTGTTGGAAAGAGTTTACATATGCAGAAGATGCTGGAGAACCAAATATTGTGTAGGAGCTGGAGGATTTTTCTGAAGAATAGCAGGCAGTTGAACTGCTCAGGACTGATGAACAACTATCACAAAACATAAAAACAGTCGTGGATTACTCAGGAAACAACACACAGTATTAAGATTCAAGGGTATGTAAACTTTTCAGTTATTATTTTGTCTTGTGGAGAGAATATAAACATCTGTTATGTAAAATAGCTTATTCAGGACAGCACTAAATACAAAATAACATGCAATTTTCATGATCCCTCGTATTTTGTTAAAATTCTTAACATTTTGCATATTCTGCAAGTGGTATGTAAACTTATGAGCACAATTGTATATGTGTACACACACACACATACATATATATATATATATAATTTATGTTTTTTGTTTTGTTTTTGCATATTTGGTCCTCTGTACTTATACACCTAAGTGTAATTAAAAGCAATTAAAAAGCAATTGAAGTGATTGCTGAATATTGTTATTTGCTTTTTTTTCAGG